CCCCAAGCACCTGGAGCATTTGATATCCTAATTCCTAGAGAGTTGAGAATCCACCTTGGGTGTAGCTTTGTTAGTAATTTCCCCTCTTCCTTTCGGTAGCCCAGTCCTACCCTTCGAAGTAGCCACATCACCTTTATTATTATCCCACTTCGATTTTCGAGAAAAAGTTAGAACTCGAAGAACCCCATGAATATCTAGCTGTCCCTAAGCCTGTATATGGATCTGATATGCCTGTATCCGATCCGATAAGAAAATTATCCGATCCGATCCGATTCGATAATCCAACGGATATTTGATTGTTAAATTCATATCCGATTTGCTATGTTATCGGATATCCGATCCGATAATCCGATCAGAAATTAATACAAATTAGAGAAAAAAATCAATGTTTAAAAATTTTGAACTAACTTAAGGCCCACCTATTTTTATTAGCAAGCTCAATAGTGACTTCTACCATCATGATATTCCTTTTTAAAAGAGAGGTCATCTTCTAGTTGCCTATTGATATTCGATGTGGGATAAGGTAAAATTGAATTTCAATTTTAAGTATAAATATTTTATTTCATTATTTCAATAACAAATGAAATTATTTGTTATATATTAATTATTAGTTTTTGAAGTTATAAAATGAATTACAATAATAAATTTAATTAAGAAAAATATAGATAATTATTTACTTTAAATTAGTAAGCTAAAATTAAAAAAATCTACTATTTTTATAATATTTTACATTCATGTGTACAGTTATTTATTCAATTTGACAATCGGTTCGATACCAATTCGACACCGTTCGACTTTTTGACCTTTGATCCTCTTCCTTTTCTGGATCAATGCTCGGGTCGATTTTTAAAGCATTGGTTGAAATCAACCTTCCTTTTTCTTTTTCTTTTTTCAAAATTTCCAATTCTTAAACATGTTTAATAATTATAAATTTTTCAATTTTTTTATGTTTTGAATTTGATTACTTTTTTATTATAAATTTATTTATTTTCTCATTTATTTATTTTAGTGACAAATAATAATAATATGTCATAAAAATATTTTATCAACTCAATTATTTATAACAAATCGGATTCACCTATATTCATATTTGATCCATTTAGTTAACGGATTATCGGATTCGGATCTTGATCGGGTTATCGGATTGAGGCCCCAAAATCCATTTCCCATTAATTTCGTCGGATTCGGATCAAAATCTAATCTATTGACAGCCATAGCTGTCCCCTTCCTCTTCAATTGTCTTTTTCACATTCATAGTTACATGTAGCATGTCATCCAGCTCTATATAATGTTGCAACTCTACCACATTAGCTATATCCCTATTCAAACCATCCAAAATTTGGGTCATGGTGGCCTCCATATCCTTCTCAATATTTACTCTAATCATCGCAATCTCCATCTCCTTATGATAATCCTCCACACTCCTAGAAACTTGATAGAGATTTTGTAATTGATAATAATGATTAGGCACGAAACTCTTCTTCATGATAGTCTTCAATTCTTCTCATGTATTAATAGGCCTTTCACAGTTCCTCCTCCTAAATGTTATTACTTAATCCCACCAAATGATAGCATAATCTGTAAATTCAAGTACAACAATCTTTACCTTTTTTTCCTCCGAGTAGTTGTGGCAATCAAATATCAACTTGACTTTCTTTTCCTACTCCAAGTATACTTCTGGATCACTCATTCCTTTGAATGAAGGAATTGTCATTTTGATATTGCCCATACTCCTATCGACAACATTTTCAACAAGATCTCTACCCCTCATTTCATGCCTAACTCTTCTATCTCTCATTCTTCCTAACTCGACATCCACCAATGTATCCTTATTAATATCATTATTCGCTTCCCATTCACCAGCAAAATCTGCTTGATGATCCCGCCTTCTTTGCCTCCTTGCGTTATGAATATCTCTAGGTTGTTTCCTACGTAAGGTAGCAAGCAATGTGTCTTGCCAATCCAATCAATCTCTCACATCCTCAAACAACCTTTCGAATTGTCGTATCACCTCATCCAACATGTTGACTTGGCTATTATTCCTGTTTGAAGTAGAATCGTCTCTATCCGACACCCTAAATCTAATTTAATATTTGCCTTACGTGTATATGTTCGTGTATCACTCAAATTGGTTTTTTTCCTTTATTAGTTTCACCACTTTGCCTTTTTCTACTCAATGCTTTCTTGCAAGTGCTTCAAAAACTAATTCGAGCTCAATCAGAATTTAATCATTGTCGAGTTTCAAACAAAAATTCAAGATAAGAAAAATTTCACGGTAGAATGACTCAAGAAGTAGGAATTGTAGCTTTGGATGGAACACTAAGGGAATATTCAAGAATGTGTTTTTTGAATTTGAATTGGACACTTTTGAATTGGAATTTTTTTTTACTCAGACAAATGGAAATTGGATGTTGCTGGCAATTTTCTGATTTTTTTCGTTTTTTTTTTTTGCTCGAAAATTCAACTAGATATCAGTAAAAGAAACATAAACTGATTTGGATGCTAGATTAACACACAAACAAATTTTGAAATTTCTTCTTTTTTTATTGATTGGAGACTCAAAAAAAAATGAAGAACGCGAAAAACACGAAGAGCGAAAAAAATAAAAGACTCAAACAAAAATGACAAATAAATAGGATATAACCTTAAATTTTGAAATTTTGCTATGATACCAACTGATGCGAACCCACGTAGCAACACATTGACACAAGAATCTTTTTCCCCCTTTTACGAACTTTGAAACTTCATGTAATCAACCACTCACCAAGTTCATATAACAAGCCCCTACAAATCATTAGGCCTTAGTCAATTCCTTTTTATCACACAACTGGATTGTACTGAAGCATTCAATGCAGAGTTCCAAATTGTAGCATTGATGTAGCATGTTCAAGAATATATAGCCCCACCCCCAGTAACCAACACAAAATTATAAACTTATTTAGACCGATTTTGATTATTTGAAAATCATTTCTTTTCACATTCATTTTCAATCAAACATTTAAAAAAAGAAAAAATATATATTTTTCGTGCTTTCTGATAATTTTTACCTGCTTTTTTACTATATATTCACCCAAAAAATAAAAATAAAATATTTTTCAAACAATCAAAATCAAATAAGCGCTCAATGAATACAAAAAAACTACTCAATTACACAACAGCAAAATAGACAGCAGTAGTATCAGTCCAACAGTACTTTTGCATTCCATTCCTTTCCATGGCAGAAGTTGATAAGTTAATACACTTGGGACTGTACTTACGCGTGCGCGACAATAACAATAAATTCAATCTTATATCAAAGAGGGTAAGGCCGACTAAATGAAATATTTATCATTATTTCACTGACTTTTAGATCTAATATAATTAGATTCTTAGTAACCACAAGACACTGTCAATCGTATAAATAGTATGACCTTACGAGAAATTGACTGAGCTCAAATGGAGTGGATTTGTGATGAATTCTCGAGCTTGATTGTGGGTGGATTACACATCGTCCATGCGTTATAGCTTTTGGACAAAGTGAAAATAATACCCCACTTGGTTGGTATCAGAGTTCGAGATTATGATAATGCAGGAGGATGCTTAAAATATGGTAAGCCTAAAAGGTGTGGCTTTGTGGTGGATTCTCGAGCTTGATTGTGAGTAACATAGAAGTGATTGCATGTTTTCTACGAACTATTACTTCGAATAGAGTGATGACAATACTTTGCATCACTATTGAAAATAAAAGTGTATACATGAACAAAAACTTGTGTTCAAAAGTTAGCTTTTGAGGAGATTTATAAAGTTAAGGCACTTTTAAGACTAATTAAACTAGATTAGTCCAGAATATCACATCAACACTAGAAATGGACAACCTTAATTATAGGAAATACTTGACCGTAATAGGTGTGTGGTGCTCTATCTTCCACGTGGGCTATTTTCTCGCTACAGTATTTCTGTGAGAGTGTCGAATAATTTCAGTACTTCCTCTCGAAAGGAGACTCGAATGCCGTCCTATTGGTCTAAAAAGACTTTGCTTGTGTATTAACTTATTTATTTTTTTTCTCTCTCATTTTCGATTTGGCTCAATGTTGATTAAGTAATACATGATTGCTGAGTTAAATAAAAATAATTTAGCTTCCGTTTGGTATGGATTAACATTCAAAATTTTAATCTAAATCAAAATTAATAATTAATTTTAATCACTTATTTTATACGACCTACAACTTTTTAAATATAAATTTCATCAACATTTATCAAAATCTACTGAAAATATGATTTTACGTACGTACAAGGTTTTTATCCCTCTTGTATGAGGTGCGTTGCCAGCGTCTCTTTCCCCTTCGCCAGGTTACGCGGCAGGGATTCGTCGATTGACGAATCGGATCTTGGCTTGCTGTCCCGCCGACGAACCAGTCTAGAAGTAGAGAGAAAATTTTAAAAACATTAAGGGCATGTTTGGAAACTGACTTAGATTGCACTTAATTGTTAAAGAATCGAATTTTAGTTTCTTTTTAACCCTTTCTAGAACTATATAATCCACCTCAACGAACATGCTACATGTATTACGGAAGCCAATTAGTTAGTGCTAACTCCAAATAAATTAATGAACTCGTTTTTTCTTTTTTCACGTGTAGACACATAAGTTAAAATAAGTACTTATTTTACCAAGCTTGTCAAGTGCCAAATTATGTGTGAAGGCAAGAAAGATACATAAGACGAACCTTTCCTTGTTCTTAGGCTTTTTATTCATGCATAATAGATGGGGTTTCTGCTCTTAGTAATCATGACTTTCTCTCGTCATCATTACCAAACTTGAAATTAATCCCTCACCCCACCCCACCCCCCTGGCCACCCGTATACACATGACACATTTAAAAACAACAAAGCCACCTATTTATAGGATCTCACCCCCACACAAAAAACTCATCTCATTTTCCATTCAAACATATCACATAGAGCAATCCACACTAGAAATCTTCTTGTTTCATTGTAAAATACACAAAAAGAAAACATCAAGAATGTGTATTAGTCCCACAGAATCGATACTATCGCACAATCTTGAAGTTCCTTCACAAAAACGGCCGAAGCGTTCCAGGGTTCGTATACACAACCTTGCAAGGTAAACTAACAAAGCTCGTGTGTATAAGACAGACATTCCTTTTTCATTCGAAAAACTTCTTTTCGATCATATATATATAAATACATGAATATGTTTTGGGTTGCAGAAGAAATCAATGCAAAGAGAAGATTGACAAGGATATGGAGCTTAAGAATTTGAAGTTGTACATGGAGAATATCAGTATAATAGAAGAGAATGAGAAGTTGAGGAAAAAGGCTACTCTCTTGCATCAAGAAAATCTTGCTCTAATGTCTGAGTTACAAAACAGATTTTCCAAGCATGTCCTTCTTAATGACGATAAGTCGAAGAACACCGTGCATCCCTCGAACGAGTAGTGGTGAAAACCCATATTAACGATCACGAGGTCTTTTCTTGTAGTCGATGCAATCATAAGTTTCTTAAGAAATTAATTATTTTCTTCTTGTAGTACTGCTCCATCCGTTTCTTTTGACTTCTCTTCTTGTGTTGGATTAAGAAAGGGGTAATCAAATTATCTGGCAAATTTGTGTAACTATAATTCTCAATCGTGTATTACAAGAATTAGCAGGTAAGATTATTTTTGGCTTTTCTTCTTTATTTATTATATATATTTTCAATTTCGGCATTTTCTTAGATGATATAAGTTTTGGAATATAAATAGCTAAGAATCTGAAAAATAAGATTAAAATAAATGCACTCGCACGTTTTTTCTATTATAAATAACTATTACTCTAAATCGGTACTATCTTAATAAATAGAACTGATCTCCTATTCATAGTTAACAGAAGATATATCTAATAAACCCGAGAAGAAAACATAAGAACTTTAAATGGATTGTTTACATAGTAGAGTCATTTCTAAAGGCCATATTTACGACATATTTGTGTTCCTTACAAAATAAACTAAATAGTGTTCTTAGTGCTTATCCAACTAGAAATCAAGATTTGGATAAATCCATATATTATTAAATCAAAATTGTCTAGTGTGCTTCTAATGGATCCACTCCACCAAGCGTGCCAGAAATTTTAGATTGGTACAAGCATTAATAAAAAGTTAATATTATATTTTGGGTAATTAATACATAACGTCTCCATCTTTCAACGTTATTGTAAAAATCGTCATTATCTTTCATTTTTTTGGCAATTGCACCCTTATTTCCACATTTCATTGCACAAAATGTCATTTTCATCAATTTTCTCAATTAAAAATTGTGAAATGACAAATATATCATTATCTTTAAATAAAACAAAAGAAAAAAGAAAAAAATATATATAATTGCAATCATAGTCCCAATTTTTTTTTTTTTTGAAAAATCGAAATGAGTCCCAAATAAATTGTTAAAAAGGTAATTAGCACATAATGTCCATACATTTCACTATTATTGCAAAAAAGTCCAAACCTTTTATTTTTATTTTGGTATTTTCACATTTAATTACACATTTAATTGCGTAAACCATTATTTCTATCAATTTTCATCCAATTTTTCAATAAAAAGTTATGAAATGACGAATATACACTTTCATTTAAATAAAAAACTAAATAATTAATTGTAACCATATTCCCAACTTTTTTAAAAATGTGCAAACAGGTCCCCAATAAATTATTAATAAAATTATTTTTTAAAAAAAAAGTGAAAACGAGTCCCAATTAAATTTATTTAAAAACTAAAAAGTGAAAACAAGTTTCAAATAAATTATTAAAGAATTAGAAATAAAAAATATATTTTTTATTTAAATATGATGACATATTCATGATTTCACAGTTCTTTATTGAAAAATTGGATGGAAATGATGATTTGTACAATTAAATGTGTAATTAAGGGTGAAATTGCAAAAATAAAAATAAAAAAAATCAAAAGTATGGACTTTTTCGCAATAACGGTGAAAATATTGACATTATGTACTAATTAGCCTTTTAATAATTTATTTGTGATTTATTTGCGCATTTTAAAAAATTGAGACTATGATTGCAATTAATTTTTTCTTTTTCTTTTATTTAAAGAAAATGGTATATTTGCTATTTCATAATTTTTAATTAAGAAAATATATGAAAATGACATTATGAGCAATGATTAATGAATGGTGGAAATAGGGGTGAAAATGTCAAAAATGAAAGGTATGGACGTTTTTCACAATAACAATGAAATGTGAAGACGTTATGTGCTAATTACCCTTATATTTTTGTCCAAAAGTTTAATCCACCAATTGTTTTCTTTAAGGTTTTTATTAATAATTGAAAATAAGGCAGCAAAATCAACAACAAAAGATAACTTTCCGGAAAGTCTCGAGGCTGTTGGCTCATGGATCATTGTGCACACACGTGTGTCTAATTTCTACAAATTCAATTATTTCGTTTTCAAGCTACATATTTAATTTTTATATCGTTTATTAGTCCAATTTATACATTTTCATATTTAATTTACTTAATTATGTTAAATAATCCTTGACAGTTGGACCGTGTATTAATAATTTCAAGATTTTTATAAACAATTTAGTTATAAAATATCTTATCATTAAGAACTTGCGAGTATTAATACACATTTCATATTTCTTTTCGCAAGTTTTCAATTATTCTTTCGTTCTCTCCATGCCTTTGAAGTTCGGCATCGCTTCACAACATTAACTAGACAGTATAATCATCAAGATTTGTGTCTCTTTTTATTTTCTTAAATAATGCTCCATACGAATGTGTCAAAAGTGATAAAGTTCTATAGCTTTCCATAATAAAAAAGGAAAAATCTTTCTATCTTCTTGCAAAATGAGTTCAATCGAATATTGCGTAAAAATACCCTTTAAACTCAAGATGGTAAAAGCTCTTTCTTTTAATAAAATAATAAAGACAGAGAAAGTAGCAAGTCAACTACAAAACCAAGGAATTCTATTAAAATATTTAGGGCATGTTTGATTTCCATTAATTTATTTTATGATTTGTCATATGATCATTTTCTACCACTCATTCACACAAAATATTCTACACGTTCTCTAAAAGCTTGTCCCTACTTTTTAACCTCTCTCTCTTAAAAATACTATTCAAAACTCATTTTTTTCCCATTAATGGGAATCAAACATGCCCTTAGTATAAATTGATTCTTTAATGTATTTCAAGAACTATCCAACACTGGTCCCCAAAAAGGCAATACATAAGGTCAAAATTATGGCCTCAGGATCATAATATCATTTGAATTCACTCAAGTATCATGGAATAAAAATAAAACCCAATAAAAGATGCTAGTGATCCCCAATGCATTGACCTAATGTTACTTATCCTTTTAAACTTTTCTTGTATTTAATATATTGAGTATCGTCTAATCTACTTTACTAACATGCTCACCAAATAAGACAAATACTCATGTCCCGTATGTATTTCTTCATATCTATTCCCTACACAACCCGTCAAAAAAACCCTCAATCATTACATTTAATAAGAAATGTGGATCACAAAGTTCACATCATATTTGGAAAGCTCAAGCACTTCCAATATATTGATTTGGATCACATACATGTAGAGCATTTGTCAAACAAATAATCACAGTCGACGATAATTGACATAAAATGTAAAGAGAGGACTAAATATACCACTATAACACAGCATACTGTATGTTCAAACATGTGATAATCAAGAATAGAAGTCATAAAGTCTAAATAAAGTTGCAAGTAACGAGGTCTTAAATAAGTTGTGACCCAATGAATAATTAAAGGTGTTCAAAAACTTTATTATATAGTAACCAGAGAGCCATAGTCTAACCACTTGATAGACTCACTCACCGGCCATCATAGAGGTTGAATTTTTCGCGTGTAGGTACAGCTTGTACTTTACTGGCACTTTGCTGTCAAGAACTTTCAACCATTTCAAAAGGAGAAAACAACTTCAAGTATTGTTCTCTTTGAATGGGAAATATCATTGAGCCTCCAAAGTATAATAACTAGTATAACAAGATATTGGACTACATTTCAGATGCATTCACATATTCCTGCAAAAGAGCAAGAAACATCACTGCCCAGTTTAGCTGGATTCCGAAAATGAGCAGGATTGCTGCAAATGGAGGATTACCACTGGGACAAAGTCTTGAAGGTCAATTAAATCCACAAATGCAGAGTACTGAGATCATGAGTTCTTGGAGCGTTCTTGTGAAGCCATGTAGATACAGCAATGCACATTGTAGCATTACCAATTACAGTCAAAGCTGCTTGAATAGCCACCAAGACCTAAATATAGTAGACGAAGTAATTTTTATGTCCGATGCAAACACAATATTCTTTCTTCCCAAGTAAAATTCAAGATGAGCAAACTAAAATAGGAGAAAAAAATATATTCTAAAAGCTAAGGCCTTGTTTTGTTTAGAAGAACTCATTTAACCAATCAAGCTTCAGCTTCCTAATTTACAGAATCTAATGATTGATATAACTTCCTTCATTGATGAAGAAGAAAAGTAGAACTATCCCTCCCACTTTTTCCTGTTTCGACAAATTACAGGCTACAGGAGCATAGTACACGAGTTGAAGAATTATAAAAGCGAGAAAATAATAGAAATTGGAGCTTACAAATCCACGTGGTTTGGCAATTTTGCCCATGTCCACTAAGGGGGAAGACTAATTTCACTATCTAGAATTATAACGTGCTCAACACCACAGAACTCACTTGGGCTACAAAATTAATTTTTCATTCAAGCCTCACTTTCACTCATTTAGGCATGTATCTGTTTTTGGCTTGGTTGATCAAATGGAGCATCCATGTATTTACAAAATCAAATTCTTAGGGTCTAGGTCTTAGTGGAAGCACTTGGGCACTTCCCCCTTTCGAAAAGGATGTCACTGCAAGTACCTCATAAGTCCAAGGAATGCTTGAACTTCTCGGTAGACTTAGGCTCATATTGCCCATACGATTAGTGCCCCAAGAGTTTGGTGCTATAAGTACATGGGCTTGTTCCATTTGATGAGAACCAAGCCTAAAAGCCAAAAAAGAGAGAGAGACATGGGCCAAACAAAAAGAGTGAAAAGTGAGGCATCAGTGAAAAATATTTTTGTAGTTAAAGTGAGCTCTTGTGAGGTTGAGTCATATTGTAATCTCCATTCTTCCAGCAAGTGAAAATATAGTCTTCTCCATTAGTAGACATGGTATAATTGCCGAACCACTTGATTTTTGCTTTCCAATTTCTAGTATTTTTCTCGCTTTTATTATTCTTCCACTCGTGTCATCATAATTAGCACTGTCGTAATAGCCACGCAATTCTCCACAAATAATAGGATTCCATTTCCAACAAACTTCCCTTTAAATACCTCAAAATTCTATATGCAACGTCAGGATGTTCTTTACACAATTGCATAAGCTTGCTCAGCACATTTCTGTCAAAGGGCTA